TCGATTGAAAATGCTGAAATACTACGAAATAGAATAGAGCAAGGCTTCCGACAAATTCGAGAAACACCAGGAATGATAGAGTAACCAGATGAATGACAAGACGCGTGTAGGCTGGTCATTTCGAGCATCTTTTGTAAAAGTAATTAAAACAGAAAATTCATTGTATCTCATAAACGAAGACAGATTAGGACATATATTTATATGACTTTTTTTTCATTATTTTTAGGCGTACAATCAGCTTCCACAAATTACGAAACACCCTGTATATGGGCACCATTAGTTGCACGAAGCGCATAAAATTTACACGAAGTTTCAAGATTTACTCAGAGCGTAAATCGATGTTTCATTGAAGAAACCATATGTTCGTACTTGATTTTAAAGCACTGACATTGCTGAAAAATTGAATTTATTACATTGTTCTCGAAAGTTTATTTCGATTTTGCTTCGTTACGTGTTTTCCTGGAATTGCCGAACGATGTGAGATTCAACAGCATCCCGATTACTATTACTATTACCCTTTATTACTCTCTAGTTTTAGTGCAATTTCTCAATAGAAATTTCATTTCACTTTTTAGTTACAACTTTTCAATAAAGCTTCGAATAGATTTGTCAATATAGGCATTTCTTTTATTCACGTCCGCAGAATTTATTAAAACGTCTGGGAAAGTTCCACTCGCAAGGAATGAACAGCAGGGAACTTATTGGAAAGATATTATAGGAAGAGTTGGAGAACTTGTTATCAATTGCGACGATAAAAGTAGTTGAAGTAAAATCCCGAGAATCGTACATTCCCTTTGTTCAAGACGCGTGGCGTCTTTGTAAAGACTTTTCACGATTGAAACTACGATTGAATGAATAAAACCGAAACGGATGATGATGTCAGCTTTCGTGTGTTCTGAAATTTCAGTGTTCCACTCAGGTGCATGATTTCAAGAGTCAGTGAGAATTTTCAGAGGATCTACTAGAAATTTTGTCGACAAGACTCACAGGTCATGTCATGAGTCAAACTTTGAAGAATCTTGATGAATCTTGATGAGTAATTGATCAATTAAATTACAATACTATTTCTGTGATGATGATATATATATTTGTCAAAGCTTTACTTGACAAAATATTTTATATATCACTTTAATATTATATTTATATAATTTAATATTTTATATATATATATAAGTTGTAGTTCAAACGACAATAATATACAATATTAAAGTGATATATAAAATTTTTAAAATATTTGTCAAGTAAAGCTTTGACAGATTTCGACAAATATTTACCATTAATGATTACTAATATAATTTGATAAATTTGCTAAATATTTACTATTAAATACTTAATATTAATATTAATATCAAGCGTTTAAAGTAAAATTTTTTCAACACGCCACGTATGCACTTATAATCTATTCAATTTCCACAAGATTCAGCGTGATTAACAATTAGTTTCATCTGTTCGAAATTCATAAACATACTACCATATATTTTATTCAATTTAGAAATTCTGAAACGACGCTGTGATTAGATAAAAATACGAGAAAATGACTTTAGACAAGTAATTAGTGTATTGTTGTTCAACGTCGTTAAAGTAAAAAATATTTCCGATGAAAGCAGTAGTGTTTTTGTACGCGTTTTTGTACACGTGTCTCGTAAAATGTATAATTTCGGGGCACGTGGCAAAATATCGCGAGCAGTACTGTCACTTGCAAGTACACTTGCGTAATTTAAGATCGCGAAAGGGTCCTTAAGGGACATCACCGGAGATTTTGCGCTCGGTGGATCCAGCTTTGTCCATCAACTATGTCGCTGCTGAGCTCCCTTCTCGTGGGACTGCTTGTGGTTACAGCGTTTCTCGTGAAACTACTTTATAGTATCTCCTTGGCATATATATTTCTCTCTATTTCCGAGCTAAGTATATTTGAGACGCTCGTGTAACATCACATGTTAGATTCTACGTCCGTGAAAACAATTTTTTAAACGTTTACTGGCCCCGGGTTCCATTTGGACCTGGAACGTTTCATTTTACTCGTTTAGGACTTTTAGGATTCATGGTTTCACTTTTAGAATTTCGATTCTACATTAGTATATAAAACATATAGTTTGTATTATATTATAATTTGTATATTATATTTTAAAATTATATTTAATAATTTGTATATTATATTCTGTATAATTATTTACTATTATTGTTATTATTATTATATAATGTCAGTTGATAATAATAATAACTATTATTATAATATATTAATGCTGAATTATTTATAGTATTATATAGTATACAAAACAAATTCCGTGTAATTTTTAATTGATCCGTTCATTTCAAAATAATTTTCGTCACGAAGAACATAAAGCACAAAATATATTTATATTTAAATAGTCTGACCTAAATTACTACGATTATCTATGCGTAAGTTAATAATAGTATTTCAGAGCTAATTTGATATATATATTGATATGAAACAGCTTGTCGGATCCCAAACCAGTTGGGACTGAATATAATTAAATATTATACACATGTTATATTCTTTGTCATACTAGCAGCTTATTTATTCGCTACAAACATAATAATAATTTCATTTATCTACTTATCTCGATATATAAGTGAATGCATACAAATTAGGACATTTCTCATTTTTAACATTCAGCATTTATCATATACGAAGAAAATGTCACAAAACAGCCTTCTTGAGATTAATGTTTTAGTGCAATACCAAGGAAATCAAATATTCAACGCTGTCTTACGAAAACATTTTAGACAGTTTAAGAAATATCTACAGTTCCAGTTGTCACGAACGAAATGTACCATAAAACGGAAAATCATGAAAAATGGACATTTCTCGTTTCCTCTATTTATTCTTCGCATGATACATCCCTTTTCCTATTTTCTTGTCAAAGGTTTTTATAATTAACAAACCTTCTTATCTTACACAAATTCTCTTGTTTTCTTGTACTATCTGAATGTTCCTCTTTCGAAACAAGATGTTTTTTTTTTTCAAACGAAATATATAAAAAAATACAGAACAGGTAAATTTTCGCCTTTAAAATCGGAAATATTGGAAATAAATCAACTTACGCGTGGATTGTCCTGGTTCATCAATTGGAGCGTCAGTTCGCAACCTCTGGAGAATTGCAGCAATCTGGCAGCCAACGGCGGATTTTTCGTATTTCCGGCGAAGCTGGATTTCCTCAGTGCTGTCCATTGTCTGAGAGCTTCCTTGTCCTGTTCGACCCTCCGCTTCAACTCGGATAACAGACTTTCTAAGCTACTTGGGTCGCCGGCTTTCTCCAACGTGTTCAACAGACTTTGATTATCGATCAGCCTTTGCTGAATCTCGCTGTACTTGAGCGAAAGTTGCCGCTGATGGGACGCCGCCTGTACACCCTGGTCCGCTGAAAACGTCAGCCGATTACTTTCCTACCAGCCTGCAAATTCACTCGGGATGAATCGATAATTTCGCCCCGTTCCAACCGCGACAATCGTTTCGCCGTCGATGTTCATGAATTTTCGTGTTTCGCGTTTCTACGAATCTAAATGGAAGCGGGATTTTAACCACTTGCGCTGGCAACTGATTGCGGACCGTAACGAGCGACCGAACCGTATACAATAATTCGCCGCTTTCTTTTTCTTTCGAACTCGTCGGTACAATGTCACTGGATAGAAATTATTCAGAAGTAATGAATTTATTACTTGTTTTGCCTTGGTTATATTTAAATCTACTTAAAACT